ATCGGCATATGATCCGAGAAAACAGCGTCACAAATGACAAGGTTAGACACACACAGACCATGCGAGAGCACCAAGTCCAGTGTGTGCCCGAGATTATGTGTAGAACCGGACACAGACTGCACGAAGTTAAAAGAGTCAATGAGATTTAAAAAGCTCCTGGAGACCGGCTCTTCAGGGCAACAAGTGTGGATATTAAAATCACCAACAATAAGGACACGGTCGTATTTCGGCAGAATTTCGGCCAGAAATTCAGAAAAGTCACTTATAAAATCCTTATTGTACTTGGGTGGTCGATAGATGACGGCGCACAGGACAACATGAGAGCAGCCCAGTTCAAACAAGCACATTTCGAAACTAAGACATTTTCATGTTAAAATGGCTTTTTATAAAACAGCTTTTTAGCAGTTATATGCAATAATAATTAAAAGAATTATTGTACCAGTTGAATAGCATATAATAGACAAAAATACACATGAATGTGAAGAAGTGACTGTTATTTAGGGAGAGAGAAGGTGAGGGAGGGCTGGGGTGGAGAGTGTGAGGGTAGTAGGCATACGGCTCAACTTACCCCGCTCTTATGGTTAACTTACCCCATACACAGGCTAAGTTGACCATAGGAGACCACTCTCATGCTACATTATCAAGACAGTTATGTTGACACTCATTCTGTTGGTTTGCAGGGATGCACAACATCTTGAAATATATGCCGATACACTAGTTAGAGACAAAACTATGATTGCCTTAATGAAGTTATCTGAAATATGAAAAATGACTCATCTTACCCCACTCTACCCTACTCTCAGTTTCTGTATTTCAAGCAATTACTAATTAAGAAATCCTGCTTTCGTGTTCTTTGAACAAAAATGCAGCCACACTCATAGGCTAAGGGGTCACCGAATGAGACAAAAGGAAAGAAAGAGATAAAGACTTATATGAGGAGTTGAGAAGGGCTATAGCTACATGCTGGAACCAATAAAAAAAAACATCTAATAAATTGCAGACTACTTAGATAAGATGTCTGATAAGAATGAATAACTTTTTATCTCTGCTGTTGCACAGTTAAGATTTAGGACACAGCTTTGACTTTCAGTCATATGTGATAAATCAAACCCACCAGAAGATGGTGTAACAACCTTAGGAACTGAGCGCACAAAGCTGATATAGGGCTCTATTTTCGTGTACAATAGTGAGGCGGCGGAGGGTGGCGGACCCCGCGCAGTTGTATTTTCATCTGGCGGACCCCGGCGTACAGCCAGTTTGGTATTTTTGTGGACTGCGGCGCACCGTGATTCGCCAAGCTGGGCGTGGTGGCATGGCAGGGGGAGGTGTCGACAGAATCAGCTGGCGCAGTGACATTTTCGTGCTCACCACCGGCGTATAAAGTGCGCTGAAAGCTCGCCGATTCAAACCTGGTCAGCTTTCAGCACAGGCAGAGCGCAGCTAGTCTAGAGGTATTTTGGTAGACCGGCTGCGTATCGGCATACGTCACCAATGCCTCACCGGCAGGTTTCCACAGTGTCAGGCACATTTCAGTGCAATAAATAATCATCAACAACTAATAATCTGAGTCAGCACATACATCATCTATAGAGATATATTCTGATCTATATCTGATCTGATGAGCGTGTTTGGCACGTGTTTGGACACACAACCTGACTGAATCAACACAGCTGAAACCGCATTAAATTAAATTAAATATCTAGTAAATAGACACACATGATGAAGTTAACAAGATATTTAATTTGTCTCCCTCCTTTTCTTTCTTCCTCTTCCTCTTGTTTCTCGCACAGCTCGACCTGGACATGTCTCTGTGTCCTTTCCCCGTCCTGCTGCGGCTGAACAGATGATTTGTTTCAGTGATCAAAAGAGTTATTTACTTTAAGCCTACATACGAATATTATACTATTCAGTTTTTTGAGCCAAATTTATTTTATTGTTAACATCTATGAAAGAAAGAGCCAGGCCACGGAGCGCGATGCGTCATTTACGCACAGATGGTTCCAATTTTAATGCCATTTGTGGAATTTATGTTGTGATCTCTGCGCGCAGCCCACCTTTGTCAGGTGAGGTTTGAATATGTGCAACTTTATGTGAGTGTCTTTATTTGTGGAAAGGGTGTTTGTCTTACTAGTGGGTCCAACATTTCACACACCAAATCCATCTGTGCTCATATGAGAGAATGTGCAGGACGCCTTCTGCAGCGCTAACAGTGACACTTGTTGAGGGGCTGCCTTCTGTCGCCATCGTATGGCATTACTGTCTTCAGACATCTCTTGATCTCTTTGACTACTTCACGAAAATTGTAATACACCTCACCGGTGGCAGATTTAAAGGCGAGGAGAGGAGCTGATGTTATTGGTCAATACAGGTCTCGGCTGTGTTAAACCACTCCACACCCTCTCTCTTCCGTCCCTACAACTTACACCGCTGGGAGGAGCTGAGTTAGGGAGGGGGGATACTTACGCCGGGCTGCTCCGCTCACCTAAATACCAAATGCGCCGCGTCACCGGCGAGGCACGAAAATAGAGCCCATGAACTCTAAAGTTTTTTTTAAACCATCAGTCTTTTTTTAGTTGCTCTATAGAGTTTGTTTTTGCTCCTCATGTACCCTGATGGACCGAAATGACACGGGCAAATATTACAAGAGAGCATACCTGTCAAATATTCTACTCTGTGTTTACCTCTTAAGCAGCACTGATATGGAAATTTTAATGACAGTTTTTTTCTCAACCCCTTAGGAGAATTGGGTGACTTAACCTCAGAGGAGGGTAATCGCCAATTCCAGCTTTAATTAGCCTGATTTGCCAGCCACTGCTATGCATAAAAGATGCAAGTATTAAGGTTTGATTGAACATACAACAGAAACCACAGTGGCCCCTCACTGACAAAATGCCAAATTCACACTAGCAGCCAAATCCTGGAGGATTTGCACAAAAGCAAGACAAGGGAGGTATAGGTTTCAAGGTAATGGCCACATTTTTGGATTAAGCATCTTCATTTTGGATTTAGTTTCTTTGATAAATGATCATGCATGTTACTTTTTGCTGTCTTTGTGCATTTTGTTTGGCAGTAGATCACAGTACACAGTTATCCTCTGAATTTAGTGTAATCAAATCAATGGTGTACCACACATTCATGAAGAAAATGACGCTACAATGTTTCGTAGTTCAATTTTTTTTAATTTGCAGTGCTCTTTCTGCTTTGAACCTAGAAAACAAAAGTTAAAGATTGATACACTCTATTGCAAATTATATGGCTAGTGTGCACTGAAATTCTCACTTCTATCTCTAGTTTCTGGATTTCAAGGTCCAGTTTCCAAAGGGTCCTGCATTTAATCTTCATATCCAACTCTGTCTTTTGCATTTTAGTTTTAATGTCTGGCAGCTCGGTCTGTCTCTAACGATGCTTGGCATAAAGAATTTTGACTGTGCCACATCTGGATCCTGTTACACACATAGTATTTTCTATTCACACCACATCACTGACTTCATATCCATTGTGGATTAAAGAAGCATGGTATTCCCACAAAATTTACATGATACCTCAAGACTTCTGGAGTCCAGTGACACGGTCTCCTCATCTGGAGAAGCATATTTAACAGCTGAAGATGTGCCTTCACTCTTTCAAATACATACAATACCAGTCCAAAGTTTTAGAACACCCCAATCTTTTTTTAGTTTTTAATTGAAATTCAAGCAGCTCAAGCCCAATGAACAGTTTGAAAGGGTACAAAGGTAAGTGGTGAACTGCCAGAGATAAATAAAAAAATCTAAGTTTAACCAAAATTGAGAATTAATGTACATTTCAGAATTATACAAAAAGGCCTTTTTCCGGGAACAAGAAATGGGTAAACAACTTAAAGCAGCTCTGCAGCAATGGAAGTTGGTGCTACCAATTCCTACAGGTGTCCCAACTTTTCTTGATCACTTACAACTCCCTCTGTCTGCATATAAGTAGTGTTGGAACACACTGTGGTATCATACCCTTGTGAGCATTGTTTGAACAGCAGTGTACCGCAGAAAGTAGTGTGTACTATAAAAATGGCAAGGAAAAGGCAATTAACGATAGAAGAGATGTTGGTCAAAATGATGGTCTTTTTACTACCAAGAAAGTCAGGGTGTCAGTGAGTACAGTTTCCTTTACCATCAAAAGGCACTCAGAAACTGGGGGAAATGCTGACAGGCAGAGGTCTGGCAGACCAAAAGCCACAACAGCAGAGGTGGGGGAAAGTCCTTATGTTCAAGTCCAAGTCAAGTCTCAAGTCTTGGCTCTCAAGTCCAAGTCAAGTCTCAAGTCTTGGCTCTCAAGTCTCAAGTCAAGTCCAAGTCCTTACCGTTTCTTTCAAGTAAAAAAAAGTCATATCAAAGCCATAAACCGTTTGTTATATGTAAAGATTTACATAAATCATGAGCATTTTTCACTATTTGCATTTATTGTTAAACAACAAAAAAATAAGATAAACTTCAATAATTGTACACTTAGACAATGTGCACAAAATAAGGAAGACTCAAATTCACTGTTCCAAAACAAAACAAAAGATAATCAGATGGCTCTAGCAAAATTAAGCCTGAGAACATAACTCACTCACATTGTCTCTATCACTTTCTCTTCCAAAATATGCAAGATATTTTCAACAAAAAACTTCTTACTTATGCTGCGTGTTTTGTATGAAGTATATCAAATGTAAGGAAATGAATAGAACATAATATTTAGGAATAACGTGTGTGTGTGTGTGTGTGTGTGTGTGTGTGTGTGTGTGTGAGTGTCTCAAGGCCCTATAATGCATTGCATTTGCAAAAAAACAGATTGGCCAAAAGTTTGTCCGTCATCTGTGCCCAATGGGGCCGCATTATGATTCCACCATGGCTGAAAACTCGCTCTACCGGAGCACTGGAGGCAGGCACTGCCAAAACTCTGGTGGCTAATCGGAACAGTGAAGGAAGACCTTTCATGTGTGCTTCCCAGAATGACAGGACCTCTCCATCACTACAACTAAGTCACTATCTTGACATATGTGAAGGACAGCATGAGCTAAGATCTTTCCTCCGTCTCTTGTGGTATGCAGCAAACAGACCTCCCCCTTCTCCAAGGTCATCTTGGTCCTCCTCTTCAACAAGAGACACAGGCTGCTCAACCTGTGCAGCATCTTGCACTATCAGTTCTGCGAACACATAGACAAGAAACAGAAAAAGAGCCCTTAATTACTATCATTGTTTATGGGTTTAACGAAGTATTACTGTTTCAGTCAATTACATCAAATTATAAGAAATTAGTTAGAATCTGACTATTTACCTTTCATTCGTTGTTTAACCTCTGCCTTGACGTCAGGACTGACCAGCACATGGTGCTCCACCCACATCAGAGTAAAGGCTGGATCCAAGGCAGCAGGTTTAAGGTAGATTGGGTCTTCAAAGGGGGCAGTGATTCCATCCTGTGCTCTGGCCATTTTAACATTGATGAAAATTCCAAGAAATCTTTTCTTAAAGGATTTGTGGAGACTTCTGACCAGACCGCTCTGGAAACGGACATTAGGCTTCAGCTTCTCAAGGTGGTAATTCAGGGACAGGACAGAGGGAACAACAGAGCTTATTGTGACGACCTTCTCCCCCTGTGTCAAATCTGTTGCTTCTTCAAATGGGTTCAAGATTTCCACTAACTCCTTCAACAGGTTCCACTCCCGTGATGTGAACAACAACTCCCTGTGCCCAGCATTTTCTACAGTGCGAGAGAGCCTTGCATGATCAAAATGCAGAACCGCCTTCACTTGTCTCAGTGTTGAGTTCCATCTTGTATTGACAGCAGCAGGGATGCCTCTGTGTTCTCCAAATTCAGCATTAAACACATCTTTGAACCTTGAGCTTGTGTGTAGCAATGAGCTCAATTTGGATAACTTTGTGAGAGCAGGAGATGACACCTTTGTTTCTTTTAAACCGTCTCCCACCACCAGCTGAAGTTGTGCACAAAACACTGCAAGCGCTGTTTTTTTTGCCAAAGCAGCATCTACTGTCTGCTGATCTTCCGGGGTGAGTTCATTCCAGAGCTCTGGGTCATCGATATGATCGTTGTTGTAGACTTCATCTTCGTGTTCAGTGGGGAAGCACACCGTGAAAGCTTTCCGCATGTTAGCAGCATTATCATTAATGATGTACTCTACTTTATCATTTATATCATAGTCATCACAAATAGCCTCAAACTGCTCACAGATTCTCTCAGCTGTGTGTGAGCCTTTGAAACGGTCACAGGCCAAGAGGTTGGACCTTAGCTGTAGGCTCTCTGCATCTTTCTCCATATGGTGCACAGCAGTGGCGGCTGCTGGTCTTTCAAGGAGGGGAAGCTCATTTTTCTGGCCTACATCATAATTGTGTTTGTTTATTTGTATGTAACAGAACAGAGTCGCCAAACACAATGGCAGTCGTTTTTAACAAAGACAAAAGTCGCTGAGAATCGGTAAAGTCTCCGGAGCAGTTAAGAACAACAGAATTAATAACTTGGAAAATGCTCTGGTAGATGTTTTATTCTTCAAGATCGCTGATTCGCTTGTTTAGCTGTCATTCAAAAAAAGGTTTTGCCTCAGACAGCTCATCCAATCATGAATGCAGAAGCTCAGCGTCCGCGAGAAAGTTGGGACCGCCCTCTCATCATAGAACTCCAGAGACGCTGAGCGTCCGATGGGCGGGACAAAGCCCAGCATTTATCCAATGAGCATCTAGTTTTGCTGCTGGAACAACCCACTTTGAGCTTCCACATTGAAGTCAGCAGACGCTGAGCGTCTGGCTGTGTAAAGCGCTGAGGCGCTGCAAGGATGAATGAGAACGAAGTTGTGCCGGTTACCTGTGGTTATCAGCTTCTTATCACAGTGTGATAAGAAGCTGTGTGTCACAGTGTGATAAAACAAAAGATGAAGGCTTTCTAGCGCGTATTCAGTTAACGAAATGTTCACACAGCAGTACGTATTTCACCACTTTTTCTTTTTTTGGGGGGGGTGACATTTTAAGGGAAGCTGAGTCTTAGAGCAATCGCCACTGGTGCACAGTTACACCAAGGAACCCCCTTATCCTACGGTCAGACCAAATGTCCACAGTGACTGAGACATGTTCTGTGTTGCTCAATTGAGTTTTCAATTTTGAACGTCTCTCTGCAGCTAAGTCCTCTGTTTTTGATGTCAGTGTTCTGCGACTCACTGGGTTGTATTTGCTGTCAACTAATTTCATAAAGTGCGTAAAACTGGGGTGTCCAGGTATTTGTAGCTATTGGCAATTTCCACATTTCCACCACGAATGACACTGACACTGTGGGAAGAAGCACGTCTAAAATCAATGACCATGTCTTTGGTTTTTACTTGCTGCCAGGTCCTTTTCTAGTCAGACAAGTTTGTTCTTTAAGAGCGATAGATAGTCAAACAAGTGTAGGATACATAGGTACAGAGACACACAATGACCGTGTCTCAATTCAGGGTTTGCACACGAGGTAGTGAGGATTTTCAGTGTCTTTGATGCCATCACACAGCACTAAGGGTGTTTCATTTGGCTTGCGATTCTGAGCACGCTTAAAATGCAGTCCCAAAACCACCCTGCACCCTCCCCCAAGGGTGCATCCATACACACTTCGTGGCCTTGGAGTCCCCAAGAATTTTTCCTGCACAGTGGCTCATTTTGGGTGAGATGTCAGACTAGCTTGGAGACGCAGCGCCTCTTCAAAGAAAATAACAAAGCTCCCAAAACTATGACAGAGTATTAGGGCCACATTGAAATCTTTTTTTTAAGACTTCAAGATTCAAGTTGTCAACTTGCGAGAGTAAAATCAATTAAGTCAATTAAGTGAAAAAGCTGCTTTTGTGGAGGTGGAAATGGCTGGAACTGGTCAACTGCATGGTTATCAGTGGATGTATCAGCGGGTCATTCAGAGAGCTTTTGTGGTTTCTCAAGAAACAATCCAACAGATAATCGACATTTGTAATCCAGAGGGACTCTGACACTGGCAGTAACCTACACCTGCAGAGAAGCCAGTGCCTTATGGCATATGGATTCATACGATAAACTAAAGCATAATGCCATTCACGGCTATTTATGGCTGCATTGATTAATTTAGCCTCTTCACAGCCATTTCCAGCAATTTCCCCTTCACAAAAGCAGAGATCTCCTCCAAGTCCACCTGTTTTTTTATTTATTAATTTTTTTTTTTGTTTTTTTTTCTGTGGAAAAGATGCATTTCTTATACAGTATATTCTTTTTAATTAAAGTTCTGATTGGTATGACAATGTAACGCTGATGTGCCAAAGTATCAAGTATCTCATTGTTTGTGAAACCTATACTAAAGCACAATTCTTCAAAATGCTCCACCGCCATTTTTTTAACAACTCTCCCCTGAAACAGCAGGTAAGTTAACTTATTTCTCAAAGTCTGAAAAAAAACTTTTTTCCCGATGTGGCCCAAATTCTCCTTCCTACAAAACACATGCCATGATAGACAAATTTAGTGGAAATGATTCACAAAGTCATTTCCTCTTTTTAGTTATCACTTTGTTGATTGTTGTATATAGTAACCCCTGTGTGCTTGTAAGTATGTATTAGACATTTAGTGACTCAACTAAGAAATTCTCCAGAGGGTAGACTGTCCCAATTCACAAAAGTCGATCCACCTCACTCCCGGTATTCAGGAGTACACTCAGCTGTGTGCAGACCCTGAATTCAGATACAGGCATACAAATTTCAAATTGAATCCCCTTGGAGTCTGTTCGAAGGTGGTTGGATAGAATTTTCTTTTCCTTAATCTCAGTTTTATTCCAAGTTTCTGTTTTTGAGTCAAGAACTTGTTTTTTCTGAAGTCATTTCCCAGATAATCCATTTTTGAACACATAATATTCATGGAATTTGATAATCAGCTATATTGTCAGAAATAACTTTTTTCAGGGCTAAATACTTGAAAGCTTGCAGGTCATCCAAATCTGCTTGTGAAAATTCAAGTCTGGCTTTCAATCTTAAATGTTCTTTGGTCATGTGTAGTAAATATTTAACAAGATGGGCAAATGTTGAATCAACAATAACTTGTTGACAAAATTTGTAGTTCTTTTCTTGTTGCTCAAGTAATTCCTTGCAAAAAGTTTTTTGCTTTTCCAGCAGGTTATGAATCATAGACATAGTGACAAAATCTTCACCACCTTTCTTTGCCATTATAGTTTCTGGTTATCACAGTGGCAGGGATTTTAATTTGAATATCTTACTTTGAGTTGGCAGAACAATGATTGGAGGTGGAAGAGGATCCAGCAGGCAGGTGGAATAGAGGATCCAGAAGGCCCGATTATGAATCCATCAAAAAGCTTTCCCCTGGCTCAAGCAACACAACCCTTACATTGGCTGGAAGAACTCCTCTATCACCAGCTGGAGCCTACACTGCCACTCACACTCTTTTTTCTGCCAACCCAGTAAATAAATAAATATCCAATGGAACACCCTTTTTGCCATTTATTGAAAACCAAGTCATAAAGCTTTAAGTCATTAGAAAAGCGTCCATGCTCAACTGATGAGTCTATTGGAGTGAATAACACGCCTGTTTTACCTCCTTTTCTGGAGCCTTGTCTTCTACCAAATCTTATGCCAGTGTATTTATTTGTTAATGGTAATTTGATTTTATATATAAGCATATAAGATCAGAAGACTGCAGAACTTGGAAGTCACATGTTCAACTGTAAAAACTCCACCCCCCTGGATGTCTGGTTATAAACCCAGATTCACATTGAACACACGTAGGGGCACAAACTTTTCCTTACACATGTAGCCCACTCTTAGAAATCCATATCTAGTGGCACAAATTGTTTAATTTAATTCTGATTATGTTTAGTGGATGAACTAGTGCTTTAAAGACTCTTGAGTCCATGGAAGAAGTCCTGCATACGTTGTAACAGAGATTAAAATGGTGCGCTGGCACCATCTGCTGGATCACTGTGGAACAGTGAAATGTAGAGCTATAGTTATTGAGTGACTGCAAAGAAAAGGTTGCTATATGCTGATTTGGTGCCATAGAGGCACAATCAAAACGTGTTTTTAATGGAAGTCAATTGTCCGTATTTTGGAGAAACAAGGCTGGATGGCGCTAAAAGATGTGAACAGAGTTCTATGGGAAACACTTTTTCCTTAATATGAATAAAAATAAGAATTTTGGCCAAATTTGATACCTTATTCCTTAAAAATGTGACTCAAAATAGTGATGATAAAAATGCTGGATGTCTCCAAAACAGACATAGTAAGAACTTAGGTTTAAAACTGCTTCTGATGGAGCACCATTTGGAAACGAAAGCATGACTGCCAAGCGAGGGAAAGATGGCTGGTTTTGATTGTTAGAAAAATGTTTCTTAAACGACAAATGGCAGACACCAGAGTTCAGGATGTATAATGAAAGTACATTCAAATTTTGCAAGAATGAAGCACCAACAATGCATCAAGTAAATACACAAAAGTGGTTAGTTGTGTTTCAAGGTCTTTTATTCTTGGCTTCCTCAGTCTTCTCAGATCATTATTATCATTTCTGAATATGGCCAACAGACAATTTAAACAAATAACACTTGCCCTGAGTTTCATTCATTTGTCATGCGTCTGCTGTCCTTGCACACTTAAAACATCACAGTAATCCTATCCTTTGCACTATCCTTATTTTACAATCTCTCTATATAATTTGGATAGCATTCGTCTACAAAGAGATAACATGAGATTCCAGACAAATTAATTTATTTTTTGGAGATCAAAAAAGTTCTTGTAGTATTGTATTGTTTACATTAAATGATATATGGGCCAGCACTAGCCTAAAATCACCTGAAATCACATATTGTAGTCTGAATAAGTATAAGGGTAAGTATTTACCGATTAATGATTGTTCAACTTGTCATAAAAGTGAACTCTCCGCAAAGTCCAGAGGTTTTGTGCAACAGGTTATACAGGTGTCATACTAAGTGTGCTGCAGCAGCCACTCTTGTAGCAGAGAGATGGGCCTCACTGATGTAAACACAGACTGATAACTGGAGGACATTCCTCCACTCAAACATTCTAACCTGTCTGTTATTCATGCACAAGTGTGAGAGTGACGCTGCAGCAATCAGGTGCTATTGCCTCTGAGCAAAACAGATCAGATTCCTCAGTGACATGAGAACGTGACACCTCTGTGGTCTTAACTCTCAGTCTGAACAAACATTTACAGTGAAAAACATCCACATACTCTTTGTTTCAGTCAAGAACACTGACACTCACTTAGTTCAAAATGACTTATACCCTTTTTCCTCTTTGAATTTAATCCCAAAATT